TGAGGAATCCGATGAGCTATAAAGCTCTATTTCACAGCAGCAGCAATAGCAGCAGACCATCAAAACTACAGGCAACATTATATTCGAAACCTATCGTGGGATATTGTTAGGATTCTGTGTGTTGGATTGGAAAGTAATTTGACTCGCACGAACATGTTTGTTCGTTTACTGCATTTCCATCTCACGGTTTTTTTTCATGGGTGCTGCTTGCATGAATTAAAAAAAAAATGCTTTGGAATTATGGCACAGATCATTATGTATACCGCCTTAAGAGAGCTATCTTACTTTATATTTTGTTGAATAAATCATACCAGAGATGCAGGGAATACCGCCTTAAATCAAAATAAGATAAGCCAAATGCAACTAATACCGACGACCAAGCGACCAAACAACCCAGAATATTCCCCATCTCATCAGATCGCAGAAGCTAAGCCAGTTTTTTGCATCAGACTAGTACTTGGAGGAGCGACCACCATACTAAACAGGTGTTATAGGCAACTGTGGGACTATGTTGTAGGCAGAAGAGTGCAATGCAGCAAATCCATTGCTGCACTGTACTTCTATGCTCCTCACCTTCACCAACCCATCACATTAACCAGCGTGGTGAAACATGGTCAAATAACCCCCATGGCAAGAACGCTGTGGAGAGGCCATCATCCAGCAGTGGATTGATAAAAGGGCTGTAGTGACTTTAGTTATTTTTTCCGACTTAGTGGAAATCCGGGTAAGGAGAATTTGTATTTAAAGAATCTGGGCGATCGGAGCGATAGAAGACATCCCGGGGTGGTGTCCACTGGGCTCCGTGAGTGGGGCTCGTTTTTCACCGTGGCTGGAATCACTCCTCGACAGTTGGGTTATTCAAGGGTAAAGGCACCGCTGCCAGCCGCGTATGCGAGAACAGAGGCTCGGTGTTTTATTTACTGGGCACAGACCAAGGCCAGGGATTAGATTAACAGACGGCGCACATTAAATTATACGTGCACATGATTTCATATTTGCTCGCCTTGCACCCGAGACCCATAAAGAAACTAAACCGTTGGCTTCACAAACTACTGTACTGTGGCTTCAGCTTGAAAGTTTAACACAAGCAGGTTCCTCCTCCAAATGCAAGCTTCTTTTTCGTTTGAACCACCGCGTAAGCTTTTCACGCTTGTGCTGTACAGCTCTCCGATGGGTTTTCGGGTCGTACCACGTGTTGTTTGGGATGATGTCCGACGTTTAGCTCCACGCGCAGGTAACTTGGGTTTCTGAAGTGTTTGCGTATGATGCTCATGGAGCCAGATTAAGGCTCCTAAGCGCTCACTCTCACAGGGCCAAGTGTTAATAGACTCAGAGCCAAACTAAGTTTCGGGGCGTCAGATTCTGAAACTCTCAGAATGTGGAGAAAACATCAAACGTCGTGCCGAGCAACACAAGGTGCAACCCGAAAACTCTCCCCCAAAAGAAAGCCAGTTCAAACGTCATTTCTCAAGTTGTGGCCGAGTTCTTTGTGCGCTCACATGTCTCTTTAGAAATTCAAGAGGTCCTGTAATAGCATATTTTTCTTGCTCTCTATCTTCGTGTTTGCACAATCGTGTCATAGATGACGCTCGCATTCCAATAACACTATGTAACACAATTTTTGTTCCTGGGTAATAAGTGTTATTTCGCAATTGCTTATGTCTAAAAAGTATAGAAAATAGTCATTTTTGTATTACTTTAGTATAAATACATGTTCATTTTGATTCATATGTTGTGTCCTGGTCACAAAAGCAAAGTTTGTGTGGAATAATAGCCATTTTCTGTACTTTTGAGGCATAAGCAATTAGGAAATAACACTTTACTACCCTGTTACACAGTGTAAGCCAACAACTTTATTTAAACTTACTTGCCTGAGAGAGTGGTTGCCTGGTTCCAGGAATGCATACAATAAAGCGTGAATTATCAACACAAACCCCAACGCATTCATCAATAATACTGCTGCCTTAAAGGGGGGGGGGGGGGGATATATATAACGCACTGATGAATGTGCTGATTTGTGTAGAGTTTTTTTGTGTGACTTGTCCTTGTGTACCACGGACATCAGCAGCATCAGCATCGTCGATGTTTATATAAAGTGTGCGTTGATCCGAGTGAGCTCTAACAAGGGGGTCACAACTCTCATCCCTTTGTTCGTGGGTGCCCCAATCTCATTAACATTCCCACCGTCATTCAAGCAAACACTGCTTGTGTTCAGTAACGTTTGTTGTTGTGTTTGCGTGGTTTAGGGAATAAAGGTGACCCGGGGCAAAGAAACTTAGGCAAAAGCTGAACTTATCCTTTGTGAGTGAAATCAAATATTGTAACGTTAAAATAAAATAAACACTACCCTTGCCACTAAGAACCCTCACTGCGTGTAAGTTGGGGGGGGGGGGGTGGATCGCGAAATAAATCATAAACTTTTTCAACGGGAAGAACATTTTCCACTGACAACCACGGGAGTCGTCTTTGCTCACCCAGCATTCACACGGGAGGCCGATAAAACGTGAACAATTTACAAATGGCCACAAGGCAGGACAGAGAGCACTAGTTTGGCTGGGAAATTGTGGGGTTCTTTTGGGTCAACGTTTAGAGAGGGAGAGAGAGAGAGACTGCATCTCAGCTTTGCAGAGGAATCTCAAGAGACCATGGTAACAGGAAGGCAGCAGTGATGCGTTTGCACAAAATTATAAAACGGACATCGAGTTAACAAGGTGACCGACAAATTCATGTTAATGGAACGTTGGCCAGATACTATGTATGTCACAACTTGCTGTGACTTCACAGAATTATTTGTCGACATTCACTACAGCCAACTCGCCTGCCTGTTCGTGATTTTATGCAACTTGCAGGTTCAGAGACGAAACTGGGACAAGACCTGTCGCGACTCGCAAACATCAGTTACAAAGATGATGGGCAAGGCAAGTAGGGCAAATGTTTTTTTATCGTGGCCCAGAAATGCCATTAACAGGTCTTCAGCATGGCCATTTGCCACTACGCTACAATTGTCCAGCATAAACCAATATATATAAGTACCATTATATACACAACACTTTGGCTTGTGGCTTAAGTATACAGTTACTTTAGTCTATATTATAATAGAAGACCTCCATGCCTCAACAGCACAAGTCATCATAGGACCTCTTTGACCAGTACCAAAATAACATAATAGGTTTTTCCCCTTTTTTCTGGCAACAAAACAGGTGTTAAGATGTTAAAATACCAAACTTATAATATATGCAATGCAGAGTATGTTTTTTGTTTGCATTCTGATCACAAGCATTGTGGTTAATGCAGACATTATTTTTTTGTAAAAGGTTTCAGTTTTGTTGCTAGGAAAAAGGGGAAAAAGCAGCACAAGTTATTTTTGTCGTTTTATTTCTCTCCCCAGTTGTATCCCAATTGGGCTATCAGTGTCATGGCATTAGATGAAGAATCCATTCAGATCTCTTGCAGAGCCGTCCCACCATTCGTGTCAGAGAAATGCTCACAGAAAACGGATGTAAGAGAATTACTTCTGAGATCCCTTCAAAGTGAACACCGATCTACGGGACAGCACCTTTCCACCCACACTGCTACAGAGAGTAATGTTCGTCACATGATAATCAATCTGACATTTGTAACGGTCAAATTGAGTACCAACACAAATGCTTAGTTCCGCAGCACAACTTTACAGAAAAACGGCATCATTCGTCATGTGTTCACTGTACATCAGTGACTTAGAAATCCAGGTGACCATTTAGGGCGTGGGCCTCAGAGGGCTCACGCTAACTCAAGGTAATTCCCCTGATTCGTTACTCAATTGTGACATCTCGGGACGAATGAGGAACTCATGAGATGATGGGAGTCGTGGACTGGAATGGAATGCGTGGCTTTGGGTGAGTAAGACAGTTGGGAAGAGCCGATATTATGATTTAAGCCACCAATCAGCTCATGATTCTTATCCGCTGCTACCACGGGACCCCCACACCACTGTAATGTTGACAACATATCTTAAAATACTGGAGTACCCTGGTTTCCTTAAAATGTTTGTGATGATAAATCCCTTACCAAATAAACAACAGGACTATCACGATTCGGGGCCACTTTTTCCATCCAATAATAGATTATTACTTTGTCTTCTTTATACCGTCTCAATTCTCTGTCTAGTATGTTGTCCAAAGTAAACAAATTGCTTTGTGCCACTGTCCAGTGCCCTGGACGAACGTGTTGATATCTTCGCCTCATATGTTGTCTTGTTTAGTACATACCGTTTGTTTTGTGAGCCTAAGGGTAGCATAATAATATTAACAATAAAAGCCTTGCAATGCAGGAACATCTCAAGATGCTGCACAATTCAACCATCAACGATAATGAAGATTACAAAGAAAAATTAAATTACAATTAACAAAATAGTTGTTACTCTTTGGTTATTTAGGTAAAGTCACGTAGGTAAAATAATAATAATAATAAATAAATAAAAATCCAATCGCGACGTTTCGGAGGCAACACAAGCTTCCTTCATCAGGTGTAAAAAAGGCACAGCAAAATAACTGTAGAGAGAGCTATTTGTGATGATAGACTGTTATATAGGGTAAGAGGAGGGGGAGGAGCCAAGGAGGACGGGTGCAACATGGGGGGGGGGGTGGAGCCAGGAAGGTAAAGCTCCTGCTAGAGAACATCGGAGCCACGGATGGGGGGGGAGGGACGCGGGGCGGGGGAGAGTAGCAGTTGAGGTTTAAGATGTAACATGGTTAATCACATCTTTCCAATGATTGCTCAATTTGAATCCATCTTCTCGGTTGAAGTTATGTCTATGTTTGTATATCTGGATGGCCTCATGGACAAACCTTTGGTGGTATCCAGATGTCTTGCAGAGCACCTCGGTCTCGGAAAAGATAATATCATGAGAGCCCACAGCATTGAAACAATGATCAGCAACGGCAGAGGAATTCGTCCTGCCGTGTTTCAAATCTGCCATGTGCTCGCGGACACTTGGACGTTGTGTTTGTGAAGTTCCTTACTCTGACCTGGCAGAGGGAAGGAGGTGAGGATCTTCCTCTGACCCAGGGGCTGCGGAAAACGGAAGTTGTTCTCCAGCGTAGAGGCCAGGGGGGCCGATGCCTCCGTGTCCACGAGGCCGGTGGTCAGCGTGGTCAACTGTGAGGAAAGCCACACTCGAGGTCACTCTGCAGTTACACAGCCCACTCCATCCGTCTGTCTTGTGTGTACCACCACCCTCCATTGCTCTTGCTTGCGGATGGATGAATGGCAACGTACAAGTCCATTTACGTATTAGTTAGCCGGGGTATTATTTCAGTTTATGTGCTTCGATGCTTCCGTTGAGTTGGTGGAGTTCACATGGGTTCATTGCCATGAACCCTCACAGTGACCAATATGTTTATTTGTTTAACCAGGCTAGAACTGGAGAGACTGGGTTAATAACAGTAGTATTGTATTTAAGTATGTATGATGAACTTAGACGCAAACGAAACAGGAATATAACAATACGCCGACAGTTATAAGAATAACATGCTCATGAAAACCACTCACGGTAAGAAGGTTTAATAGAATAAGAAATCAAGATAAGAAATAAAGAATAAGAAATCAAGACAAAAAAATCAAGTGAGAACTTGACAATGAAAATTTACCAATAATGAAAAGAATTGAGGAATGAAACTTGCTATGTTTTGGTCACGTCAGAAGAATGTTCCCAAACAGGAATGCAGCAAAATCTACAGCAACACTCGAAGCTAAACTGTGAAAAGGCCAATTAAAAGCTGTGTAGCTCTTTTTCAGAATCAATCGGGTCATAAATGACAGCTCAACGAAGTGGCTTATCACGTGGCGATTTATAGCAGCCAAATACACTAAAAGCATGTTTCTAAATGTGGAGGGAATAACCGGAGGACCCGGAGTAAAATCCACACGAGCACGGGGAGAGAGAACATACAAACTCCAAATATACAACCATGCGTCAGGGTCGAGATCAAACCCACGACCTCCTGCATACCAGGCAGAGGGAGTTAACATCCTGCCGGTAGTGGAAGTTAACCGAGGCAGAAGCCGACCGAGAAAATGACGAACGGACAGAGCGTAGGAGGCACTGGAACAGAGAGGAGTGACGTAGAAGAAGCAGCAGAAGGGATACGTTGACGATCGCCCAATAGTCTCGGATTCCTGCTGCTGCTGGAGGCTTGTGGACCTACTGATCTCCGTAAAGTGGATGGACATGAAGAGAGAGAGGAGAGAGATTGTGATGTCGTGACGTGTGCAGGTGATGGGGAAGGGGGGGGGGGGGGAGGGCTGCCCACCTGTGCCACCGACACCTCGATGGGGTTGTGCAGCAGCGTCCACGTGACTGTCTCGTTGCATTCCGGCGTCGTCAGGGAGCCGTTGTAGCGGAAGAAGTGGCCGAGCTCTTTGGGCAGGAGGCTCAGCATGCTGAATGCCTGCACCACTGTCTGCTGGCCTGCACACGCGAGTGGGACAGAGGCACAAGGCGTTTATCAATAGAAGAATGTAACACGGCTGGCACCGGTGCCAGCCGCCTTCCTGCATGGGTACGGAGTCACGATCGGGTGGGTTTCACAGTCTATTGTTTTGGCAAGGACAGTTGAGTTTGCAAGGTCTCAATTGATCCATCAACAATTTCAAAATGAAAGGAAGGTTAAAATCCCAAAAAGAGAGATATCCTATCTTGTTGATGGGGGTTTGTTGGTTGCTGGCCGCTTGACATTGTGAGCTCTGGTCCTGTGATCAGTAAATGTAATTAAAAAGATAGAGGGTGGAGCGGTAACGCAGAGGTTAGCACTTTGCTAACCGCCGCGTTACTGCGACATAACTCCCATGGATTTCAATATAACAAAAATGCAATTACTATACACGTTTAAAGAGCTGTAAATGGAGCAGCTGACCATAAATTGTGATTTTGCGAAAAGTCCTCGCTAAACGCATGGTGTTCACACAACGCGTTTTCGCTATAACGAGGTTCTTTAATTCAGGAATTATTTCCACACAATTCAGAACGCGCCTGTTATAACGTGGAACGCACACCGATCTAACGTGGTTTCCGTTTAGTTGACGATGAACTATTTTCTTTCTTGAGCTGCGTGGCTGAGTGGTAAGACACAGTATGCGAAATGATACAGTAACACATGGTGGCGTACCCTCAGCTATTTGTCCCGCGATCAAACTGTGTGTGTGTGTGTACATCGTATCTCGCTAAACTTTAATCTTATATCATTTATAGAGGAACTGTTTTCGCTTAGCGCATTTCCGCTGAAAGCGGCACTTTTCAACAACGCATCTACCGCGTTAAAAGTAAGTGGGTAGCCTCCCCACTCGCCTGCACACGTCACGACATCATCATCTCTCTCTCTCTGTCTCTTCATGTCCAGCCACTTTACAGAGACCAGTGGGTCCACAAACCTCCAGCAGCAGCAGCAGGAGTCCTCGACTATTCGCGATCGTCAACGTGACCCTTCTTCTGCTTCCTCTACATCACTCCTTTTTGTCCCAGTGCCTTCTCCTCCACTCCTGTAAATGCTTTATTCTCGTGAACAAAGCTTCAATACTCTTGTTGGGCAGCCTGCTACACGCAGCCTAGGTATGTATCTACAAGACCGATATTTGTTTTAAAGTAATTGATAAATGGGGTGAGACCATGTAAACTCACTGACCTGGGTAAATTTGGGGGTGGAATCTAGGATTCTAATGGATATGACTGGGAACCCTCGCAGGAAAACTTGTATCAGACAAGTCTCGATTGAGCTTTCTCAATATTGCACTGAGCTATTAAAACATGACGGCATTAAACACACTGAAGAAATCCGTTCCGTGCACAAATGCAGAGCGTCTGTCAGAGGGGATGGGTGAGGAACGTGTGGGAGAAACACAGCAGACCCAGTGACACCCGATTCCCAAGCCGGTCCGTGCTAGGTGGCGTCATTTCTGCTCACTTCAACAACAGCTCGACAGTGCTTTCATCAGCAGTGAACACTGCTCACAGAAGTTTGCAACTGCATCATTAGACAAAGCTCCCCTCTCCTCCTCCTGTTACATCCCAAATAACAATGCAATTAAAAATGCATTAAAAGTCAATTAATCAGTAGCTCTCACCTTAATCCGAAGTCTAGTCGTGTCCGTACCATTTTCCCCAATCATCACCATACAAGCAATCCCATCCCATGGGCCCCGAAACGAATGATTTTGATTGGCTGCGGCAGTATTTTTCACGACAGTCCCTGTTGTGCCCTTCACACCAATCTTCAGTCCAACCCTGCACGCTCATTTTTTAAAAGGCAAATCGGAGGTACCCTCATCTGCCCCCGCAAAGCTTTTGACACCGCCGAGTTTGCTCGGCACAATGCTCCAACGGGGTCAACGCATTGCATCGCCGCATTGTTCAAAAAAGCCACCTGGCGTTCGTGAATGACTGCAGTGAATAAAGGGTCTCATTGAGAAGAGGAATCTGTGCATCACAAGGAACAGCGGGAAAGCTGGGTTCACCAGGGAGTTGGAAGTCGACTCGTCGGTGTGATTCGCTTAGTTAAAAAAAAGAGCCAGTTTCTGCGAAGGCCCTGGCGGTTTTGAGAAACAGTCCAACAGACGTGGTTTTAGCTCTGGGGATTGAAATTTTATTGTCTCCATCAACTGTGACAATCTTTTTTTTTCTTTCTTTAAAACAACAGCAACAAGCGTTGCGTTTTTACGAGCCGAAAAAAAGGACTGAAAAATAGCAACTCAACTCTTTTTTTCAAGACCCACAAAGCCATGACCTGCACAGAATGTGTAATCATTACACAAATAAATATGTGCATAAACGGAAAGACAAAAGGGTTGTCCTTAAATGCCTCCCAATGACAGTGCGAGTCTGGAAACCCATCTGCAAGCTCCAGACGCACAGCACAATGTTTGGCCCAGACGACGACAATGGGAAAGAATCCACTTAAAGAGTTTAAACATTGAACATTTAATCCGGCCAATGTCTAATGGAGATCAAATGAAGAGAGAGAGAGAGATCGTAATTCAATCCACGGGAGAATCATGGAGAGTCCCTAGTATCTGGTTGACGGGTGATCTGCTGGTGTTTACGTGGAGCGAGAGCAGGGATGATCTTCCATAATAAAGGTTTTTTTGGGTTAGATCGTGTAAATATATAAATGTGTCGTTAAACCCGCCACCACCCAACAGAGCCAACTAGGAAGGTTTGTCACGTAAACAAAACGTGCCAATTCGTTACTTCTTCAGCACACCGGTGTGTTGGAGAGTAAACCCACAACATTTACAATTCGAGTACGACGTTTCGCCGTTGACTACAACTGGCATCATCAGGCGATAGCCAGATTTGTGAAGAAGTCGTGTTTCGGTCTGAAATGGAGGGAGTAAATGTGATGCCATCACTGTGGGCCTATCAGGTGTGAAGATCAGAGGGGGGGGGGGGGGTTCATGTAGTCATATAAGTGAAAGTGGATCATATTAATCTGAGAATATGCAATACCCATTATTGTTTGGGTTATTCACAGTTCATCAACATACATAATGATTTTTGCTGCTGTTGCCAGTTCAGCTGCAGCATGGACCATGTAGTCCGGGATTGATGCGGCTTTGGTAAGGACAGTAGTGGGATGGGTGTGGTGGAGTTTTTGTGTGTTTGAGTTGTAAATCGATACATTTCATGTGTGTTTATTTTGAATGTTTATCCAGAACAGAACACTGGAGCACAAAATCCCGTTGACAGCATAGGGACACTTGTAACGGCATACGGATATGTCCCTTCACAGAGATATTATTGAGCTAAAACTAAAAAACTATTCTTATTTTAGCAGGCAAGGCCCATTGAGCTATATAGCTCTGTTTCAGAAGCGGCCTGGCCAAAAATGATAGTGCAACGAAGTGGCTTATCATGTGGAAATTTATAGCAGCAAAATACTCGAAATGCATGTTGATTCTAGATGTGGAGAGAAAATCCAGAGGACCCGGAGAAAAAAATCCACACGACCACGGGAAGAAAATCCAATCACCAAATATAGAGACGTCAGGGTCGGGGTTGAACCCACGACCTCCTGTATACCAAGTGAGGTCGTTAACATCTCGCCACTATGGTGCCCTGATACGTCCAACCCCAGTAAACATGCAGCGTTGGGCAAATGTTGCCATGGGTTTGGAACTGTTGGACAAATGTTGACCTAACGTTTTCCCAACGTTCCACATTTACTGGGACGGTCGCATTACAAAGACAAAGATCTAGATAAATGCAGTAAAAAAGATCTGGACCACACCCCAGCGTACGAGGTTAGCTACTTCTTACGGTGCCATTGAAGGGACAGATTCCTCTACCAATCCAGAAATTCAACTGGTGCTGACTGAACCCCTCCGCAATTGTCCGTCCGTAACATTCAGCGCAAACTGAACATCGTGAGTGGGTGAAGCAGGTGTCACCGAGTGCAGGACACAAAATGGGTACGTGGAGGAATGAGGAATAACGAGTTCAACATCCAAACAGGGGTGCCGTCACTCACCGCTGTACTTCACTTTCCCAAGCTCTTTCATGAGCACCGTAAACACCTCATTGTCCCTTGGTCCAACCTGCGAAATGGTCAAAAAACAATGACAAGACCCACTCTTCAAACCCACAGCACGGTTCCCCCCCCCGCCAACCCCCAAAAACAACACAATAAATAACAACATCCAGGTTAACGACAATTATAACAATTGCAGCGCAGTATTGTACACAAACCTGCAAGTCACATCGCAGAACTGTCATGGGTATCACGGTTGCGCGCATTTAAATAAAACACGACGAATGTACAATGGAGCCGGGGTACCCATTACCAGGACCGAATAAATAAATGAATAAAGGTTATATGCAAGTCATTCACATCCAAGCTCGCACGTCCGCTGTAATCGGATGCTGCAATGGGGGAATGGCTGTGGCAGGGAACGTTCGAATCAGATACGCGAGTTGAAACGACAGAAGTTTCCGATGAGGGCAAAAAAAGGGCTCAACCCTTTTGAGCCATCCGACGAGGGGGCGTGAAATGAATCCAATGCTGGGGACACGAAGAGAGATGGTGAAGCGATGCGTGATCATACACCCCAGAGGAAATTCTCGTTAACAAAGAACCCGCGGCTCACGGCTAGCGTGCACACGAAGCCGTTTCAAATCGGTGCAGGGATTCACCCGATGACCTGAAACATCTACGATTGGGTGGACGCACGCTGGACAGCTTTACTCAAGCGGCCGCCAATTGCGGGGTGGGTATGGATAAGGTGGCCAATTCGAGATTTAAAGCTTTCGTGACTGCTAGGATCCATACTCTTTGGTTCTATTGGGTAAAGTCACGTAGGTGAAAATAAAAGAGTGTGGCCAATTCTCTTAGTTTCAAGAAATTAATGTGGCGGTGGTTTTGACCGCTTGACGGAGCGTCGCGATTTGATGTGCATCAAACTCGTTATGCGCCAAAGTGGAGGATCAAAGGGTAACATAAACAATAAAAAAACAGACAACAGTGCGTCTCTCCACATGTAACTGAATATTGATTGAGCTGATACTGTAACATCATACGTCTCATGATAAAATGCTTCAGCGAAGCGTTTTGGTGAAGCAGGCAAACTGTAGGCGAGTGGAAACCGGTTCCATCGAGCACGCTGTATGCCGTGTTGTGGTGGGCCCCTCGATGACAACCCACACTCCAGTTGCAACATTGTAGTTTGCGCCTTGAATGCATGTTGAACTTCTTTCGTTTCGCACCGTACGTAACCATCCGCCTTACATGGTGCAAACGTATCAAATATATTACAATTTTTACATCTGATCGAAGGCTCGAGGTGGACACGGCACAGCAAGGTCAAAAACCGGACGGTACATCAAAAATGGCACGCGGATCGGCAATGCCAGGCGTGGGCCAAGAGAGCACCGAGAGAACACCGAGAGAGCACCGAGAGAGCACCGAGAGAGCACCGAGCGAGCACCGAGAGAGCACCGAGAGAGCACCGAGCGAGCACCGAGAGAGCACCGAGCGAGCACCGAGAGAACACCGAGAGAGCACCGAGCGAGCACCGAGAGAGCACCGAGAGAGCACCGAGAGAGCACCGAGAGAGCACCGAGAGAGCACCGAGAGAGCACCGAGAGAGCACCGAGCGAGCACCGAGAGAACACCGAGAGAGCACCGAGAGAGCACCGAGCGAGCACCGAGAGAGCACCGAGAGAGCACCGAGAGAGCACCGAGAGAACACCGAGAGAGCACCGAGCGAGCACCGAGAGAGCACCGAGAGAGCACCGAGAGAGCACCGAGAGAACACCGAGAGAGCACCGAGCGAGCACCGAGAGAGCACCGAGAGAGCACCGACAGACCACCGAGAGAGCACCGAGAGAGCACCGAGCGAGCACCGAGAGAGCACCGAGAGAGCACCGAGAGAGCACCGAGCGAGCACCGAGAGAACACCGAGAGAGCACCGAGAGAGCACCGAGAGAGCACCGAGCGAGCACCGAGAGAACACCGAGAGAGCACCGAGAGAGCACCGAGAGAGCACCGAGCGAGCACCGAGAGAACACCGAGAGAGCACCGAGAGAGCACCGAGAGAGCACCGAGCGAGCACCGAGAGAACACCGAGAGAGCACCGAGAGAGCACCGAGAGAGCACCGAGCGAGCACCGAGAGAGCACCGAGAGAGCACCGAGAGAGCACCGAGCGAGCACCGAGAGAACACCGAGAGAGCACCGAGAGAGCACCGAGAGAGCACCGAGCGAGCACCGAGAGAACACCGAGAGAGCACCGAGAGAGCACCGAGAGAGCACCGAGCGAGCACCGAGAGAACACTGAGAGAACACCGAGAGAGCACCGAGAGAGCACCGAGAGAGCACCGAGCGAGCACCGAGAGAGCACCGAGAGAGCACCGAGAGAACACCGAGAGAACACCGAGTGAGCACCGAGAGAGCACCGAGTGAGCACCGAGAGAACACCGAGAGAACACCGAGTGAGCACCGAGAGAACACCGAGAGAGCACCGAGTGAGCACCGAGTGAGCACCGAGAGAACACCGAGTGAGCACCGAGAGAGCACCGAGTGAGCACCGAGAGAACACCGAGAGAGCACCAAGAGAGCACCGAGTGAGCACCGAGAGAGCACCGAGAGAGCACCGAGAGAACACCGAGAGAGCACCGAGCGAGCACCGAGAGAGCACCGAGAGAGCACCGAGAGAGCACCGAGAGAGCACCGAGAGAGCACCGAGCGAGCACCGAGTGAGCACCGAGAGAGCACCGAGAGAGCACCGAGAGAACACCGAGAGAGCACCGAGCGAGCACCGAGAGAGCACCGAGAGAGCACCGAGAGAGCACCGAGAGAACACCGAGAGAGCACCGAGCGAGCACCGAGAGAGCACCGAGAGAGCACCGAAAGAACACCGAGAGAGCACCGAGAGAGCACCGAGCGAGCACCGAGAGAGCACCGAGAGAGCACCGAGAGAGCACCGAGCGAGCACCGAGAGAACACCGAGAGAGCACCGAGAGAGCACCGAGAGAGCACCGAGAGAGCACCGAGAGAGCACCGAGAGAGCACCGAGAGAGCACCGAGAGAGCACCGAGCGAGCACCGAGAGAACACCGAGAGAGCACCGAGAGAGCACCGAGAGAGCACCGAGAGAGCACCGAGAGAACACCGAGAGAGCACCGAGAGAGCACCGAGAGAGCACCGAGCGAGCACCGAGAGAGCACCGAGAGAGCACCGAGAGAGCACCGAGAGAGCACCGAGAGAACACCGAGAGAGCACCGAGAGAGCACCGAGAGAGCACCGAGCGAGCACCGAGAGAACACCGAGAGAGCACCGAGAGAGCACCGAGAGAGCACCGAGCGAGCACCGAGAGAACACCGAGAGAAGACCGAGAGAGCACCGAGAGAGCACCGAGAGAGCACCGAGCGAGCACCGAGAGAGCACCGAGAGAGCACCGAGAGAACACCGAGAGAACACCGAGTGAGCACCGAGAGAGCACCGAGTGAGCACCGAGAGAACACCGAGAGAACACCGAGTGAGCACCGAGAGAACACCGAGAGAGCACCGAGTGAGCACCGAGTGAGCACCGAGAGAACACCGAGTGAGCACCGAGAGAGCACCGAGTGAGCACCGAGAGAACACCGAGAGAGCACCGAGAGAGCACCGAGTGAGCACCGAGAGAACACTGAGTGAGCACCGAGTGAGCACCGTGATCCCCGGCGAGGCTCAGGAGCGTGCGCTAGAATTCACAGCGGAGAGGCCCACTCACCTTCACGAGGACTCCCAGCACGGCCAGCCCATCCACCTTTTTCATGGCTTCATCCATCGATTTGTACTTTTCCTTGTTGAAATGAACAATGTGGATCTAAATGGTACGCACACACACACGCACACAAAGGTCAACCATTTATATGGCCATTTAGGCACCCACCCACAACTCCCTTTCTCATTTGCCCCCCCCACCCACCCACCCCTGTCCTTCCCCGAGAGGGTTGTCCGAGTTAAGGAAGTAGACACCAGGGATGTAGAGTTTATTGAAACCCATAGACAGGTTAAAAATAGAAAACGTTAGCAATAATCATCATATAGTACTTCGCATTGTATCTATACGGGTGTCAATAGCCCCCTGTGTATAAATCAGCCCCAAGTACTGTACTGAAGAAGCTTGATTCCATCTATCACTCGGCCTTAAGATTTGCATTGAACTGCCCATATAGGACTCACCACTGTGATCTCTACATTGGGTCAAACTTAACATCTCTTAATGTTCGACGGCTTGTGCACCAGATCTTATTTATTCACGATGTACTTACAAAAAATTCCGCAGACTACCTACTGGATCTCCTCTCTGTTTCAAAGAACAAATTTGACCTCAGGTCTTCGCTCATTTACCAGCTTCACATTCCCTATTGCCGTACAAAAACTGGAGGAAGGGCCTTTGCTATTGATGCCCCCAGGGTCTGGAATGCTATTGCCAATAAACTGCAACTTGAATCACTGCCTATGAGATCTTCACTCAAAACTGCTCTAGAGGAGTTGTACAACCCTAGCTGCCACTGCTATTCAGTGGCCTAAAATATGGCTCTAGATTTTGGTGTTATAATTTATTTATGTAGTTTATTGTTAAAAATTCGGTCACAGTCCCTATGATCACTGTTACATTGAATTTATGGCTTTTATTTTGGTGATTTCGAAAAGTTTTTTTTGTTTTGCCCATGTTTTTGTTTATTGTAGTACGGAGTTAGACTGATGGCCTTAATCTTAGTTGTCTTCTGGTTGTTGTTGTTATTTGACTTGCATCCCACTGGGATTTTTGCACACAGCGTTGGTGTACGGTGCTATTTCAGGGATATTTTGATATTTTTTTCCTGTATTTTCTGTTTGCACAGTCACATAATCACTTTAAGATGTTTTCTTGTTCATGTTTTTTGTTTGTTGCGGTTGCACCCGATTCAAGAGCCGAATGGCTCACAGGGCTATACCAAATAAATGAACTATGAACTATGTGTGTACCCGAATCGTTTGTTCAATATAACACTTTTGGATAAAAAAAATATAAACCTTGTACACCACTGGAGCATTACTGGTTATGGATGATGATGACTATTTGACCACTGGGGCAAGCAAGGACATGATATACAACAGCATACAAATTGTGCTTTTAAAGAGTCTGAATGCAACTGGTGTCTCAAGTTGATGTACAAACAGAAGTATGCTCATCTGCAGAGTTTGAAGAGGAGTGTTATATTTATTTGAGAACAAGGCCAGAAGGGCATCTGTGTGTATGCATGTTGAACTTCTTTCACACCGTACGTAGCCAAGCGTGCTCATCAGAGGTGCGGGGGAATGGCAACGACCTAAACGCAAAAAGCAGCTCTCAAGAAATTAGTTTTCAATCTCGATGTAAAATTGCATAGCTCCAGTGGCTTCCCAATATCCTAAGATGTAATTTTGGTAGAAGCGGTCTTGAAGACTTCACAGAGAGATTTAGATCGGCGTCAGTCATAGACAGAGGAGGCGCAGTGAGTCTGGCAGTAGAGGGAAGTGCAGCACAATACTTTGCTGTTGTTTACTCCCACCAGCTTCACCAACTCTCACTGACCAGCGTGGTGAAGTATGGTCAAATGTCCCTCACGGCTCACAGAGCCATGGGGAGGCCGTTATCCCGCAATAGATTTACAAACAGGACGTTTTCTGAAGCAAGCCACCAAAGCTAAATAAACTTAGTCAATTTAACATGTAGGCTTTCCTGATCAATATTATGTTTCGTCATAGATGTCTGGGTCAGGTGACATAAAGTAGACATGGACAAAGTTGCCAAACTATCCGACTCCGGTTTTCTCATCTTGATTGCTGAATGCTTGATGGACTCCCAGTGGCCTGTAAGTAAGATTTCACTGGGCCAAACTGCTACAAGGCGCAGTGAGCCTGGAGTTTAGCAGGTGGAGAGGTTCGGGTCAGCAAGGTGCTTAATGAAGTGGTTTGGAGCAATGCTCTTTTAGTCGTGACATTTTAATTAAAACACACGCAAAAATACGTGTAGAAAGCCAGTCTCCATCACCTAATCTTACAATTTAAATAATTGTAGGAATTATTATCTATTGGGATAGCACAAGGGTTTGTCCGTGTCTTATATCCATTTACAAACAAGCGGGCGGACACCGAAATAAAGCGTGCGCCTGGCTAGCAGACACGGTGGCAGCTCGTAATTAAACCACCCGATGACAGAAAACTGTGGTCATATTTGACCGCAGTCAAATTTGACCGCAGTGTAACCGAATCGTGCAACTCAATCAGACGCAAGGAACCTGGCTGAGGTTTCACCGTGAATCATTCGTGTTGCGTTTCAGTAAAACCGGCAATGCCAATTGATAATTACCGTCGTCCTTGCCACTACACAGAATATCATTGTCATTACATCCACAATATCAGAATTGTTAAACATTGCATTGTCATTTGTACAGAAATATATTTAATATGGTAGCGTAAATTTAAGTTTTTGAAATCGCACGAAATGCATAGATCTCAGAACCTAAGTAGGGCTGAAGCTGGGTAGTGCATGGATGGGTGATGACATGGATAGGTGATGACATGGATGGGTGATCACATGGGTTGATGATCACATGAGTTGGTGATCACATGGATGAGTGATCACATGGATGGGTGACCACATGGGTGGGTGATCACATGGGTTGGTGATCACATGGGTTGGTGATCACATGGATGGGTGATGACATGGATGGGTGATCACATGGGTGGATCATCACATGGATAGGTTATCACATGGGTGGGTGATCACATGAATGGGAGATCACATGGGTTGGTGATCACAGGATAGGTTATCACATGGGTGATCACATGCGCAAAACACCGGTGTAGTAGGCGTCATTGGCAGTAGAGGGAAGTGCAGCACAATACTTTGCTGTTGTTTACTCCCACCAGCTTCACCAACTCTCACTGACCAGCGAGGTGAAGTATGGTCAATTGTCCCTCACGGCTCACAGAGCCATGGGGAGGCCGTTATCCCGCAATAGATTTACAAACAGGACGTTTTCTGAAGCAAGCCACCAAAGCTAAATAAACTTAGTCAATTTAACATGTAGGCTTTCCTGATCAATATCATTTTTCGTCATAGATGTCTGGGTCAGGTGACATAAAGTAGACATGGACAAAGTTGCCAAACTATCCGACTCCGGTTTTCTCGTCTTGATTGCTGAATGCTTGATGGACTCCGAGTGGCCTGTAAGTAAGATTCCGCTGGGCCAAACTGCTACAAGGCAACACCGAAGTATAAATGGCCGTGTAATATACAGGGCACGGTAAACATACAATGATGTGTAAATCTCCATATATATAAGGCAAAGTTGTGATTATGTGTTGTCTGTTCAAAATGTTTAGCGTACTTCCCGACATGCAACAAACTTGAAATTTGCCATGTGGGTACTTTCCAGACTGTGCACCATGCAAAAGTTATAAAAATACACTTTTTGGGGGGGGAGGGGGGGAGCTCAATGATGCATAGATTTTGTGCACAGCAAGTGAGCTGTGACGTCAAATCTGTCATGTGACCCGCGCATGTGGAAGTGTAACGTATCGTAGTGTAGTAGTTAGCACGCTGTGTATGTGTCTGTGTGTGTGTATGTGTGTGTTTGTGTGTGTGGGGAGCGATAGTGTAGCGGTTAGCGCGCTGCGCTATGAACCTGGCGACCCGGGTTCGATTCCCGCTCACGGCCAACACCAGTGACGATTATCTGAACCGGTCCCGGGCCTCCCCTAGGTCGACTCAGCCTCAAATGAGTACCTGGCGCGGTGTGTAAACATTGCCACTAGGGAGACAAAGGCGGTCGGGCGTGGTGCTGGCCACCCACCCCCTCGTGTACCGTTCCGGCCTTCATAGGTGCTCGCTAACAGCACTTGCCCCTACAGTCTGTTAAGGCTATATGGGGGATCTTTGTTCTTTGTTTTTTGTTTGTGTGTGTGGCTGTGTGTGTCTGTGTGTGTGTCTGTGTATGTGTCTGTGTGTGTGTCTGTCTGTGTGTGTGTCTGTGTGTGTGTCTGTGTATGTGTCTGTGTATGTGTGTAAGCGTAACGCATTGCAGTGTAGTGGTTAGCACGCTGTGTATGTGTGTGTCTGTGTGTGTGTCTCTGTGTGTGTATGTGTCTGTGTGTGTGTCTGTCTGTGTATGTGTGTGTGTGGAAGCATAACGCATTGTAGTGTAGTGGTTAGCGCGCTGTGTGTGTCTGTGTGTGTGTGTCTGTGTGTGTATGTGTGTGTGTCTTACACCTTGGGGTGCGACAGGGATGTCCTCTGGCTCCCACATTATTTAACATCTATTTTGACCACGTAGTTCGTGAAGCCTTCAATAGCTGTACCGGGGGAATCTCCATATGGTACAGATATAATGGGAGGCTAATCGATGCCCGGGTGCGGTCAAGGGATGGCTCCCTATTGCTCAACCACGTTATGTATGCTGATGATTTGGTAATAGCTGCTCAGTCAGAGGAGGAGTTGGAGACGCTGCTGCTGAGACTGGAGCGTGCCACTAAGAGGTGGGGCCTTACCATCAGCCCCACCAAAACTAAGCACCTGCCTGGGTATTTTGTACCATCGGATACTCCACCCCCACAACTCCCAATCGGTGATGGGGCAGTTGTGGAGAGAGTGGAGAGTTTCCCATACCTGGGCAGTGTGCTTATGACTGGCTCCAGTTTAACAGCAGAGGTCTCACTCCGAATCAGTCGAGCGGCAATATATTTTCATCGGTTGCGTAACGCTGTGTGGAAGCTACCTGGTCTGTCGCTCCGCACTAAGCTTCAGGTCTTCTCGGCCACGGTCATTCCCTCCCTTCTCTACGCTTGCGAAAC